CCAGCGTGGGGCTGGTCGCGTGTCCCACCAGCGTGGGGCTGGTCGCGTGTCCCACCAGCGTGGGGCTGGTAACAATGTTCACTACAAAGAACACACAAATCCCGCAGAAGGGGAGGCGACTACACGAAGATCCTCCAGCTGCATAACACTGAGGGTAATTAGTACACTACACGCAGGGAGGAGGCACCCGGGCCACACTGCACGCAGGGAGGAGGCTCCCGGGCCACACTGCACGCAGGGAGGAGGCTCCCGGGCCACACTGCACGTAGGGAGGAGGCTGCCAGGCCACACTGCACGCAGGGAGGAGGCTCCCGGGCCACACTGCACTCAGGGAGGAGGCTCCCGGGCCACACTGCACTCAGGGAGGAGGCTCCCGGGCCACACTGCACTCAGGGAGGAGGCTCCCGGGCCACACTGCACTCAGGGAGGAGGCTCCCGGGCCACACTGCACACAGGGAGGCTCCCGGGCCACACTGCACTCAGGGAGGAGGCTCCCGGGCCACACTGCACGCAGGGAGGAGGCTCCCGGGCCACACTGCACACAGGGAGGCTCCCGGGCCACACTGCACTCAGGGAGGAGGCTCCCGGGCCACACTGCACGCAGGGAGGAGGCTCCCGGGCCACACTGCACACAGGGAGGCTCCCGGGCCACACTGCACTCAGGGAGGAGGCTCCCGGGCCACACTGCACTCAGGGAGGAGGCTCCCGGGCCACACTGCACGCAGGGAGGCTCCCTGGCCACACTACACGCAGGGAGGAGGCTCCCGGGCCACACTGCACGCAGGGAGGAGGCTCCCGGGCCACACTGCACGCAGGGAGGAGGCTCCCGGGCCACACTGCACGCAGGGAGGAGGCACCCGGGCCACACTGCACACAGGGAGGAGGCACCCGGGGGCCACACTGCACGCTGGGAGGAGGCACCCGGGCCAGACTACACGCAGGGAGAAGGATTGGATTCGTTAGGATTGTATAAAGTGCGGTGATGACGTAGAGGGGCCCAAAATGTTCGTAGGCCTTAGACCTCCTGAAGCCACAGGGCGCTACTTCTGCAGGTCCAAGGTTGTGTCAGGTGATCTCAGGAGCAGGTGGGGGTAACTGCCCCAGACGGGCGGCGGAAACTGTCGTATCCTGATCATTGCGTTAAGATGAAACAGCATCCTTATTATCAACTCTGCAACCCGCTTCTTTTCAACTCTGATCCTTCTCAACTCCAGAGATCCATAACCTCGGTGGAAATACAATGACGTGTTTAAGGTTAGAGAAATACAATGCCACCCTATAAATTCCACTTATTATTAATTAACTACAATTGAGGCTATATACACTTGACGTTGGCTGTATTATGTGTCCGTGTGTCAATGTTTCCTTCAAATGTGTGGATAACACGTACTCCTCTGGTGAAGCCTCTCAGTGCATCACTTGCACTGAGAGGCTACGTATAAAATCAAACCTTCTAACCTAACGAGAAACGTCCGAACCCAAACCACCCACCCAACCTATCACTCCAGTGCATAGAAAACGTAACATATTTGTGAGCTCGTTACTTTTCATTATAGGCTGAATTTGTGACGTAGACTACAATATAACACCCACGTCACAACTACGTCACAACCCTACAAAAACCTGCTTGTAAGTTTGTGGTTTAAGGTTTACACCTCTAATATATTGATTTTATAATTAATACATTTTTTAACATGATAATGCCAAGCAACGAAAATACATATTGTGTGATAATTGCTCTGAGTTGTGATGGTAAGTCTGCTGCACGAGTTGTTGAGGTCTTCCTGGCAGTTAGGGCGGCGTGGCTGGTGGCAGCCCAGTGGCGGCAGCCCAGTGGTGGCAGCCCAGTGGTGGCGGCCCAGTGGTGGCAGCCCAGTGGTGGCAGCCCAGTGGTGGCAGCCCAGTGGTGGCAGCCCAGTGGTGGCAGCCCAGTGGTGTCAGCCCAGTGATGGCAGCCCAGTGGTGGCAGCCCAGTGGTGGCAGCCCAGTGGTGGCAGCCCTAGCGGCCACCAAGGAATGACGTTATGTGTACGAATGTGTACGAATTCCAAGCTCGTTATGTGACGCTCACGACAACACTGGCCATTCAGATATTGATTACATAACTACGCCTCTAACGACCCAATACTCCCTAATCACCGGCCATAAAGTTACATTAAGTCCAATTACCAATCAGAGTGGATAACAACGTCTTGGTCGGCGTTGCACCAATTACCAAACACAAATTGTAACGAGTCACGGCCGGATAATTCAGATTATATAATCATCTTTACCAATGATTTGCGTGCAAGAGTTAACCCAAAATTACCCGAATTAAAACCGCTTTAACGTGAGGATTATGTTGAAGACCAAGTTCGAGTCCCCGCTATACCAAGGATCTCCGGTTTTTACAACACGGTAAATAATTATCAATACAAAGGTAGTTAACAAAGGGGAGGAACGGGGGTGTTGGGGGTGTCTGAAGGTCCCTCACACCCTCCCACGAAAACATGTCCTAAATACTTGAGTTATATATATATATATATATATATATATATATATATATATATATATATATATATATATATATATATATATATGCTTGCTATTTTAGTGCATCTTGAGCAATATACTTGCTATTGTGGTGCATTTTGAGCAATGTGCTTGCGATTTTTGTGTTTGTGGAAGCACATTAGTGAAAGCAGTCTCAAGACGATCCAAGTTCTCCTGACTCAAAGGAAGGGGGGGGGGGCAGGTAAAACAAAATAGGTAAGCTTGCGTCGCTCGGTACTGTAGCCAAGAGTTGTGATCACACCGACTGTTGTTAAAATGTTCTGCTTGACGTACAACACCCACGTGAGGGATTCGGTTCTTAGAACGGGTCGACATGGCAGCTGGCTTGTATCTGACGGTCCAGGGACGGTGGGGTAAGTTGTCTCACCGCCGTCCTGCTGGGAGTGTGTAAGCAGCCATTTTCGTGGATGGTCTGACGCCAAAATGGGGGATTTGTAAAAAGCACAACACAAGTACTTGGATAAGTCTGTCCTAGGATGTCTATGTGAATAAAACAGGTTGTCTGGCCTAGGGCGGAGGCCAGGCACACTGGGGGAACCGTATTAAACTTTGCAGGGTGACTGGTGGCTGCGGTTTGTCAAAGGTAGGGTCAGTTTCGGGTCAGTTTCGGGTCCCCACTTAGGGGGGTGTCGCTCCAAATACCCCCCACTCCTTAAATCAGGTTGGTGGAGATGAAGTATTCGGAGAAAATTCTGTAGTTTTATAATTTATTTATTGTTTTTCAGAATTCAGATACTGACGTGCAACAAAAATGCATGTTATAATGACAGATTTTAATTCTGAGGGCGTCCAACACTTGAGTAATGCAACCTTTCGGAGTCGACCCGGGCACCGCCGGGTACCTTCCATTGTAAATCTGGGATATATTTGACCTTGAGCGATGTGTCAATTATTCCATCTGGAACTTATAATGTTGACATTGTTCCTGCTACATATTAAGATGAGACGCCATCACCAGATTTTAAAGACACATTTGAAGAATTTTAGTAATTATTGCTATTATTATTAGATAGGGGACTGACAGCTGAGTGGACAGCGCTCGGCATTCGTAGTCCTAAGGTTTCGGGTGGATGCGGAAACAAATGGGCAGAATTTCTTTAACCTTGCTGCCCCTATTCACCTAGCAGTAAATAGGTACCTGGGAGTTAGACAGCTGCTACGCGCTGCTTCCTGGGGGTGATGTAACAAAAAGGAGGCCTGGTCGAGGACCGGGCCGCGGGGACGCTAAGCCCCGAAATCATCTCAAGATAACCTCAAGATATTATATTTTTTATTTGGGATGACTTTGAGTGGCTGATGGGTATCATTAAAGGGGGTTAAGGCCCCCACAAATATTGAGGGGGGGTTAAGGCCCCCCCCAAATATTGAGGGGGGGTTAAGGCCCCCCACTTGGAGTGGCGAGTGTTGCGGTGCACGTAACTCACACGAGGAGAGGTCACGGCACTAAGGCAACAAACACCTCCTCAACACTACACTTAAAAAAGCAACCGTCGCTTGTGTTTAAATTGTACTACAGATAACATTTACCTGAATTTACCTGAGAGCCACTATTTCTCTAGTGGCCTCGACAAGGACAGAAAGCCGCCGGCTTGTCAAAGGTCTTGACATTTGTCTTGATTGTTTTCCAGGTGGATTTTAAAATTCAGGAGTGTTTCGGCATTCACAGCTTCGTCGGGTAGGCGGTTCCATGGGTTTATTATCCTCTGAGTGAAAAAGCTTCTTTTTTTTCTATCCTGCATTGTTGCTTAAGTTTGAAACAGTTGCTTTTTGTGTTACTTCTGACCTTTTGAAGATGTTCTTTGGATCAATATCCTCCAAATTGTTCAGTATTCTAAAAGTTTCGATAATATCCGCTTTGTCATGTCTGGTTTGCTGTGTTGCTAGTCCTAAGCCCTGAGGCCCTCAACCGTTCCTGGGGCCAGATTCACGAAGCAGTTACGCAAGTACTTACGAACGTGTACATCTTTCCTCAATCTTTGACGGCTTTGGTTACATTTATTAAACAGTTTACAAGCATGACAACTTGTCAGTCAACTGTTGTCATTGCTATAAACAGCCTCCTGGTACTTCGGAGCTCATTAACTGTTTAATAATTGTAAACAAAGCCACCAAAGATTGACAAAAGATGTACAAGTTCTTAAGTGCTTGTGTAACTGCTTCGTGTATCTGGCCCCAGGTGTGAGAGTCGACTGAGATCTGAAATGAATTTTGTTGCCCGGTGTTGAACTTTCTCCAAGGTAGCTATGTCTTTCTCAAGATGGGGTCTCCATGCTTGGGTTCAATAATCCAAATAGTGGCGCAACACAGATTTTCACAATTGCTATCTTAATCCCCAGGTCGAAGCCCGCTATACTCGGAGTGTCAGCAACTAATACACGTGTGGAAATAATCATTCTTACTGTCAATATTATCATTTGTGTAACGTGTTTACTTATTGTACATTACAGAGAGAAGACAGAAGACGGTGAGGTGACACCCACGAACCAGGAGGAGGAGGAGGAACAAGACTTGTTATAACACCCTCAATGGTTCTCGCCCCACCACGGCCCCTTTATCCTCCAACTCTTCTGACGTAATTGCTATGTAAAAGCACTGGTCGTTAAACTCACAGCCCACACCTTACGACCGTCTGGAATAATCTCATCAACTCGTCAGGGAAACTGCTTCGCGTACAGAGCAACTATTTTCGGGCAGGACCAAGCTATCTGGCGCGCTTGTGGCTGATATCACCCGTCCTAGAGCCCTTAACCGTTGACATCCAACACCTATCTACACCCAAAACCATCTGTTCTCTCCGAGCACAGGTGTGACAAGCCCATCATCCGCCGCTAGGTAACATCAATTGCTAGTCAAGAGCCATCTGTGGTGGGCCAGAGGAACCCTTCCGGGTGCCCACACGCCCCTGAGCGTCCCACACCCACCGCCAGCAGGGCGGACAGACACGGACGCGGTGGGCGGGGATGAAATGGGTGGGCGTGAGTGGGAGGGGGGCGTGGACGGGCTGCTGGAGGCGGTGAGGAAGGGACACCCACGTCACGTCCAGCTGCTGCTGGAGGCCGGGGTTCCTGTCGACGGCACTGACGATTCTGGTAAGATTTCCCTTGTGATTATTGATACTGATTTCCGACACACTCACACACAACACTTTCACCTGATGCCTCTGCTCACCCAAAAGTAAATAGATACCTGGGAGTTAGACAGCTACTGCGGGCTGCTTCCTGTGTGTGTGTGTGAGAGAGAAATATATGTAGTAGATATGACTGAGGAAAATAGAATTCAAGTCAGTACATCAGAGAACCGATGGTTAGAAAGGCGGGGTCCAAGAGCTAACTGCTCGATCCTGCAAGCGCAAATTGGGAGACATGATCACCACCTACAAAATTTTCAGGGGAATTGACAGAGTTGACAAACACAAACTATTTAGCACGGGTGGAACATACACAAGGGGACACAGGTGGAAACTGACTACCCTAATGAGCCACAGGAACAATAGAAAGATTTTTGTTCAGTGTCAGAGTAGTTAACAAATAGAATGCATTAGGCAGTGATGTGGTGGAGGCTGACTCCATACACAGTTTCAAATGTAGATATGATAGAGCCCAGTAGGCTCAGGAATCTGTACACCAGTATATATATATATATATATTAGGGCTACAGTTTTCCTAGAGAGGACAGCCAGGTACTGCCACCCGTGCCAAGAACACCCACCGCAGGAAAGATATTAACAACAGAACCGAGACCTCCAAAATCAGAGCAACAGTCAGCAAGATAACAGAAGAAGGCGAGCCTGTAGAGGCAATACCTCACCAGCGAGGACACAGTTGCCACCAAAGATGCCAATACAGCTGCCAGATTATTATTATCTACATTATCTTTTGTAGGTATAAACAGATAGGCTTGTATCGAGGTTTCTCCACACACACACTTTGCTAGATCGAATTATTGACCTTCCGTAGGAAGTCAACCCACAACAGTTCGCTATCTCCTGTGTACTTGTTTACTTACTAATAATAATTCATTGTTTCGGGGGACAGGCAGCCAGTTTATACATTCAGTACATGTTAGGCTTATATCCAGGTCCCCCCCCCCATCAGGGCGGAATTACTGACCCTCCGCAGGATGCAACATGACAAGAATCTGACTAACTCCTGGGTACCTATTTACTGATAGGTGAACAGAGCCATTACGTGAAAAGAAACGTCGCCCAACCATTTCTGTCCCGCAGGGGAATCGAACCCTGGAATCCGAAATATACTAAAAGAACCTATGTAGTAATACATTCAAAAATCTTAAATTAACATCAATGATAATTTAATACTATAAATTGAGTACTTTTATTATAACGTTAAAATTAATATATACTTTGAATATAACGTTAAAAGTTAATATAACGTTAAAAATTGTATATATTAACTTTTAACGTGATATTAAAAGTATATATTTTTAAATATAACTTTATATAAGAAACTGGCATACCTTCACAGATGACATTATCATTCTAATTCAACACTATATAATAAAGTGACTTTATGAGGCTAAGGCAGAGGACGGCGGAGTGCGTATAATGTCTGGCGGGTGTCCCCCTGGCAGGCTCCACGGCGTTGGTGACTGCCGTTCTCCACGTCCAGGAAGGTCGCCTGCAGGAGCGGCTGCTGAGACTCCTGCTGCAGGCTGGCGCCGACCCCAACGTTGGCGACGCCCGGGGCACCACCCCGTTCATGCACGCCGCCATTACTAACGCCAACGGTGCCGCCATCACCCTCCTTCAGCACGTGAGTACTGCCGTGGGCGGGAGAGGGCGGGAGAGGGTGGGAGGGAGGCCTACTCCGGGGGCTGTATAGGCACCTGCTATATGTAACAGCAGTCGAACCCGGTCCTGGCAACTGCTGTATCGTACACTGTCCGCTGTGTTGTATACTGTCAGCTGTGTTGTACACTGTCCGCTGTGTCGCACACTGTCCGCTGTGTTATACACTGTCCGCTGTGTTATACACTGTCCGCTGTGTCGTACACTGTTCGCTGTGTTGTACACTGTCCGCTGTATCGTACACTCTCCGCTGAGTCGCACACTCCGCAGTGGATGTGTATGTGTGTGTGTGTATGTATATGTATGGGTGTAAAGCATATATGGAAGCTGATCAGAATTACATTTCACCTTTGTGAATGTACATTAATGACACTATGTAAAAGACACATCTAATACTTTATGTAGGGCATACGTAAATCTGTGTATCTATGTATTTACGTATGCAGGTTAGCTTAGCATTTTAAAAGCACCGAATCACCTTCTGTGGTTGAGTGTTCAATAAACCCCTTGAACTGTATGTTTAACACTTCTCTAACCCTGTCCATGGAGGACAGAAGAAAATGTATATGTGCTGGTTAGCATTGTAAATGTGTGGCCACGTCTGTGGTAGAAAATAATAAAAAAAAAATAAAACTCCGCAGTGGAGTACGGTATAATTACATAAAGTCTACGGAGATAGGTATCCGCATTTCATTATGTGGACAGTAGTCATGGAATATATATATATATATATATATATATATGTATATATAGGGGGGTACCACCACTGGTGCAATTATAGGGACCCACAGCCTCAGAGAAGGGAACACAGAGCATTCAGGGAAAAACTTGCCATTTAACTCTGAATGTATATATATATATAAGAAGAACTAAGAACTCTTTGACCCGGCCAGTATTCGAACCCATGGCGTCCTGGATTGCTTCTATATTGGAGCGGAAGCATCAAGAAATATGGACCAATAGGCTTTCTACAATTACTTCCATTCAATAACCATTGTTTCGTGTTCTGTCTTGTGTTAGAATTTAATACCCATTGTTGAAAGTTCGTTTTCACCTCATCCACCTCACCCAAATGTAGATATAAACTCGAAGATGTGCAAAGCTCTATTCAGTTTCAGTTGTGTGTTTGTAAACTAAAGAGTTTGAAAATGTAATAAGTTTTGCGACACGCGCTCAAGTGTCGCGTCAGACTAGAAATAAAAATGAATTTTGGAGAATTGATCTTTGAATTACCATCAACAGTGAAAAGAAGTGTAAGAAAGATAGAGAAAATTCGTGTTAGAATTATTAATCTTACTTTTTCGGTCATATTTAATAATATATGTCTACAGGAAAGACTGCTACCAAAATATACTAATATATATATATATATATATATATATATATATATATATATATATATATATATATATATATATATATATATATATATATATATATATATATATATAAACACTCCAACCACCACCAATTAAAGCTCACAAGCAATCCAGCTATGATGGCCCCATTGTCGACCAAGCAGCTGCAACATGCCTAGAAGCTGCAACAACACCACATGATGCTGCCCGACTTAGAGCTGTAGCAGCTCTCCATGCAGGTGACTTCCTATTAGCAACCCCAATGTCAGCAACCGGCACCCGTCTCACACCGCAGGCCCTCCGATTTGCTGTGGCTCTCCGCCTCGCTGCCCCAATCCACACCGAATACAGGTGTGGCGAGGCAGAGGCCGACAGGTAATGCGGGCATGGCCTTCTCTGCGAAAGTACAGGCATGCAAGACACATCGAGGTAAATTACATTATTTAGAGGAGCCGTACCACAGCGGTTGTCCAGCAGAAAGAGAACCCCACTGGTTAATGCCCCGCAACTCTGACGAGCCTGTTGGTCGCCCAGACGAGATCACGTCTCAAGAATGGTTGACAGTTGGTGTGGGACGACCCGTGATTTTCAACTTTAGCCAACACCTATGTTGACTTCAGTGTTGCACATCCACGTGGTGCTGCCTGCCACTCACCAAGCTGCAGCCAAGTCGCGTAAATACAGATCTTGATCACCACTACAATTATATCCCCATTGCCTCAGAGGCACTTGGTGCCTGGGGTAGAAGTGCTGCTAGCTTTTGAAGGAGCTGGGGTCCAAGCTAATTGAAACAGAGACCCTAGAGCCGGCAGTTTCCTCTTCAGCACCTTAGTGTGGCGATACAGAGAGGAAACGCACACTGCATCTATGGTTCCTGCCCGCCGTCTGAGGAGGTGGAGGAACTCGACAACCTGTGACAACTAACCTTGTACCTGTTCATGCTCCCATACTCCAGTTGTGCAGACGTCGTCACCTGTGGCACTGTGCCGCCACCAGGACAAAGTACGTAAAATATTGATGGTAATCGATGACACGTTTGATGTGTTGTACAGGAGCCGGTGTGATCTTGAGGCCCGGTGGGCGAGCCTCTCCAGGCGGTGACACAGGTGACAGTCTCAGCAGCGAGACGAGTCCACCCACGGATACTTAATAGCATCCTTAAGACCGGATAGGAGAGAAAGGGCATCTAGATGAAGGCCAAACACTGTATACAATGCACCATAATAATGTAATGGTGCTCACACACTCACACACATCTTATTAAGTTCGTTTTTCCTCTCACCCGACACACAAAGAAGAAGATAAAGCCTGCTTGACAAGCTTAATCCGTTTTACAACTAATTTATGGAAGCTAATCGAGAGTAGATCGGGCAGACAGCATCTTCCTTGACTGTTAGAAAGTATTAGATAATGTCTCATATATATAGGAGCTACTAAAACTACAGAAGCAGGCTGGTGAATCTAGAAAAGTGAGGAAGTACCTCTCAGGAAGGAGGCAAGAGGTCGCAGAGTGAGAGAGAGAGAGAGAGAGAGAGAGAGAGAGAGAGAGAGAGAGAGAGAGAGAGAGAGAGAGAGAGAGAGAGAGAGAGAGAGAGAGAGAGAGAGAGAGAGGGTGGGAGATAATAAGACACATTCTATCCTAATGTACATCAAGGACCCGACAGACAAAACAGGTCCTCTATATAAAGTGATCAATGTTTGCTGATGATACAACACTACCAGGAATAAGAGCACATAGCTACAGTGACATACTGTTTATCAAGGCAAACTACGCCCTAGAGATGATTGCAACTTTAACAAGACAAAGGAAGTTACGTGTATTTGAACAGGTGAAAGAAGATCTTTACATCAACATGAAATGAAGAGAATTCAGTATAAAATATCTCGCATTCTTAATTAAACCCAACACAAGGATTCCGTTCACCGTACTGCTGGGGAATTACCTATTCACCTAGTTGTGTTTGCGGGGGTTGAGCTTTGCTCTTTGGGCTCGCCTCTCAACTGTCAATCATCTGTTTTACTAACTACTTTTTTTCCCCACACCACACACACACACACCAGGAAGCAGCCCGTGACAGCTGACTAACTCCCAGGTACCTATTTACTGCTAGGTAACAGGGGCATTCAAACTTTGCTCATTTGTTTCTGCCTGGTGCGGGAATCGAACCCGCGCCACAGAATTACGAGCCCTGCGCGCTATCCACCAGGCTACCAGGCCCCATACGTACCAAACAACCCGTGTTTATCAGTCAAATAAGAACTTGACATCACAAGTGTTGAGTCAGAGATGTCAGTAACAGGGTCACGTGACTGTTGGCACCTCACATCATCAGCCCGAAACGCTTTGGCGTAACTAGTGGCGTCATTAGCATGTGTACCTTCTGTCCCTACAATGGTACATAACTCCTGTGTTCTTCGTACACACATTATTTTGAATAAACACTGATTAATTGATTGATCGATTAATCGATTGATCTTGACAAGTTGAAGGCCAAGTTGAAGGAAGTTAGGTACCTGTCACAAGCATGAATGTATACGTCACGTATGTCAATGATATTTAGAAATAGATACATTAGTAAAATAAAATAAATTGCAAAAGAGTGAATTTTTATAACTCAAGAGCATGTTGGGGAAGTTGAAGCTCATTTTGGGGAAATTGAAGCCCATGTTGGGGAAGTTCAAAGAGCATGTTGGGAGTGTTCAAAGAACATGTTGAGAGAGTTCAAAGAGCATGTTGAGAGAGTTCAAAGAACATGTTGAGAGAGTTCAAAGAACATGTTGAGAGAGTTCAAAGAACATGTTGAGAGAGTTCAAAGAGCATGTTGAGAGAGTTCAAAGAACATGTTGAGAGAGTTCAAAGAACATGTTGAGAGAGTTCAAAGAGCATGTTGAGAGAGTTCAAAGAGCATGTTGAGAGAGTTCAAAGAGCATGTTGAGAGAGTTCAAAGAGCATGTTGAGAGAGTTCAAAGAGCATGTTGAGAGAGTTCAAAGAGCATGTTGAGAGAGTTCAAAGAGCATGTTGAGAGAGTTCAAAGAACATGTTGAGAGAGTTCAAAGAGCATGTTGAGAGAGTTCAAAGAACATGTTGAGAGAGTTCAAAGAACATGTTGAGAGAGTTCAAAGAGCATGTTGAGAGAGTTCAAAGAGCCTATTGGGAAATTCCCTGTGGCCAAGTTTTGTGGGCGAGGAATGTTCAAAATATATAATTACTTTAGAATTAATCCATTATAATAGACTTTAAATTTTTTTAATAAAGGGAAAAACATTTTACTAGATCCATAATTTGTTACATTATATTGTTATCAATAAATGACCTAATGAACTTTTGTGAATTATACATAGAATGTTGCAGGATAATAATACTTTCTTTTAATATCTATGTGTAAAGATCTCAGAATACGTATTCTTTATATAAAAAAATGGATAATTATCAGTTATCATTTCATATTTATCAAATATTACTTGTTTATTAGTTATCAATTAGTAATTACCCAATATCATAATCTTCAATCATCAGGCTGAATCATCTTCCCCTCATTATATAATTATCTTTAATGTTAATCGTATATAATCAGGGCTGATGCATCTATAATCTGTACCTTCTGA